GTATAATACACAAATTATACATTTATGTATAATACGTGCCAACCCTGGTATATTGTATACGATAATTTTAAATTAGTTTTAATTTTAAACAAACAAACCCAAAGTTGTTTTATTGCCATCCTCACGGCTTTGATAACTTATAGAATTATTTTGTCAATTTGAAGAATATATTATACTGTGCGTCTGTGACGTCCACTGTTTTACGCGACGCATTGCAGTTTTAATATTTTAGTTTGAAAGATGAGTTATGAACCAAAAAGTTGGATGTAGCAATATGGTAAACGTCAAGGTAATAGGGCTATTTGTAATTTATGTGATGATAATTCAAATAAAGAGTTTAGTTGTGCTGGTGGATGAACAGGATCATTCGGCAGACATTTAAAAGTAATACATAACGTATATTAATAAATAATAATAAAATTCATAATACAATAATTCTATTATTATTGTACAATTATTGCTATAAAGAAATTTAATATTTAATAATAGAGAAATCTCAACAGTTCGTGTTTAACAGCCGACCGTGCAACACGTGTGCTTATCGCATTGTACGTTTTATAGCTTTTCGATAGCACAATAATCACGTCGACATTTGGAAAGGTAATATGCTTTAATTAATACTTAGCCTATCTGCCCATATCTACGCCATGAATAGAAATCCAACGGGCATTTCGCCTAAAAATCCCACACATAATCGTTCAAATACATCTACTTCTAATATTTCTTACCCCACACTCATAACCAAAAATGTTTCCTCACCATCTACTAATTCAACATCATCTTATAAATCTTCATATAATACTACGTCGTCTCTTCAATCAAACAAAAACATAGTAGTGACAGGCACCGACCGTAATACTCGCTGCCCCACCACCTCAACGACTAATCATACTACACGCATCGCAATCAAGACTTCTCCTCTACCCACCACTCTAACCACACCGTCCAGCGATAACACGCTCATCGCAGACACTATCGTTCCTCACATAAATATAAATACATCCACTAATGACCAACCGATTAACTCCTCATTAAATACTACGAACAATAGTATAAATTTCGCATCTGCTGTCGCTATGGAAAAGACGCCTAGCCGCGAAAAAGCCTTAGTCTTCAATTCAATTGATGGTATACCTCAAAAAGAGTACATACTTGCAATTGGAAAAATTGTCTCCCCAAAAAATATTACATTTATTTCTAGAATTTCAAACAACCGCTTCTGTGTCTTCTTGTCCAGCAAACAAATACTTGATAATTTAATGCAAACAACACAATCAATAAATATCAACGACCAAAATATACCAATACGCAGATTATTAAATCCGGCCAAAAGAGTCATTATATCCAACGTATGCCCTTCTATACCCAACCAAGCAATTACCGACGCCCTAAAAAACATAGATATATTGCCCATATCTCAAATTAACCACCTCAAAGCTGGAATCAATATTGAAGGGTACGAGCATATAATGAGTTTCCGTAGACAAATATACCTCAAACACGAAGACATTCCCAAACTCCCAAACTCGTTATTAATTACACAAAATGAGTCACAATTTAGAATCTTTTTCACTGACGATAAAATTACTTGTTTTTTATGCAAAGCTACTGGCCATACTACAAACAATTGTAAAAATAACGTTGATGATAAATCAAAAAATATGCCCATACCATCTAGTCCAAACAAATTAAACAAACACGAAGACCCGCCTATAAACCATACCGAATTAATGGAAAATACACCCCCTCCCACAAGCCCATAGCTTGATACACCTTTTGAAAAAACCGAAACTGATTGGACCGAAGACACTGAAGAAAACAAATTTTTTTCTTCAACCCTAAATCATCCCAATGATACACTGTCATATACCCCCAATGAAACACATAAAAGAATGATGTCAGATTCATCGTCAACTAAACTCCTTGACTCCCCAAATATATTATTATCTTCATCCACTAACACTAAAAATGAAAAAACTATCAAGAAACCTAAAATACAATCCCGATCAAATTCTTCTAGCAGTCTGGATACAAACTTGGACGAAAATTTAAAACCTATTATCGAATACTTCACCACAAATGGCTCCTCACCAATCACTTACATACAATTTAAATACATCCTGGACAATTTCAACAACAAAGCAATAAATATCCACGCACTGATTGAAAACACAAACCCAGATATACCAACCGTAATGGACATAATCGAAAAAATTCGTCCAAACATAAAAGTCAAATCACTGAAATCACGACTAACAAAACTTTCAAATCTACTTTTTCAAACCCAACCTCTCAAATAAAGTTTAATCCAAATCTGAACACGCCCAATAAAACAAAACGAAAAATCACACAAACCTTAACTATATATTTTCTGTTATTGCTTACCATGGATAATATCATTCAATGGAATATAAACGGCTTAGCCAAACACAATATCGATATTCACCGATTAAAAGCCCTCCAACCAACCGCCCTCTGTTTACAAGAAACAAATTTACGACCTAATACCACCTTTACCATAAAAGGATACAAAGGATTTTTCAAAAATCGCCAAACACATCACCGTGCAAGCGGAGGAGTAGCAATTTTCGTCAACAATCTCATTGATAGCACCGAAATTCATATCCAATCTCCATTAGAAGTTATTGCTATCACTTTACACCTCAAAACTCCCTTATGTATTTGCAACATTTATTTACCTGATAGTACTAATCTTTTGCTTAATGATCTAAATGATATCATCAAACAATTACCCAAACCTTTTCTCTTTCTCGGCGACTTTAATAGCCGAAACCATATCTGGGGATCTAATCTTACTGATCCCAGAGGTAAAACCATGGAAAAATTCTTAGAAAATGATCAAATAACATTACTCAACACCGGGGAATACACACGCCACAATGCAGCCTACAACTCCTTCTCGGCCATTGATCTCACAATATCAAACAGTGCTTTCGCTCCTAAAACCGATTGGAAAGTCCTCACAGAATACAGCACCAGCGACCATTGGCCTATCTCCATAAAAATCCTTGACGAATCTCCTAAAATCCACCCACACTCCCGATGGTGCCTCAAAAATCCAAATTGGAACTTATACAGTGATATTATATCACAAAATCTTATTGAGAATCCAATTAATCTTCATCTCGCAACGAACCAAACTCAAATTAACTTGATCATTGACAAATTCTGCAACATTATATTAGAAGCCGCTAACAAGACTATTAGAAAAACAAATACACAACAAAAAAGAAAAAAAGTTCCCTGGTGGAATAAAGATTGTAATGACGCAATTAATTTATATAAACAAGCATTAAACAGATTCAAAAAAACCAAACTAATGGCTGACCATATAAACCTAAAAAAAAAACACGTGCCCAAGCTAGATTTATTACAAAAAAAAGTAAAACTGAATCGTGGCAAATTTACACCAACTCAATAAGCTCCAATACATCTCCAACTGAAATGTGGAATAAAATTAAATCCATCAAGGGCATAAATCACCAACCACTTCCTCCCAATCTACTTTCCAACAATAATGCACTCACACTTCCTTCAGATATAGCCGAAGCTTTCGCACTTCATTTCAAAAAAAATAGTGACTGCACTAATTATGACCCAGAATTCATAAATTTCAAAAATACTGTTGAAGATAATCTCAAAATTGAACTTGAAACCAATTTCCTCCAACACGACAACCACCTTAATGCGCCATTCAATCGAAATGAATTCTTCAATGCCTTATCTGGATGTAAAAGCAAAAGCCCCGGTCCTGACGAAATACCTTTTTCTTTTATACAAAACCTCCCCACAATAGGTCATGATCTCCTCCTCCAAATATATAATACCATTTGGGACAAAGGTATTTATCCTGACCAAAGGCATAATGCGATCATTATACCAATTCCTAAATCAAATAAAAACAAATTCAATATTATCAACTACAGACCTATTTCTCTTATTAATACGCTTGCAAAAACCATGGAAAAAATGGTCAATAAACGATTCATTTGGCATCTAGAAACATCCAACTTAATAACTAAGGAACAATGTGGTTTCCGCAAAAACCACTCGACTATTGACATACTCTCCACTCTCCATACTGATATCTGTAATGCGAAAAATCAAAAACAACACCTCATACTTATATCTTTAGACTTAGAAAAGGCCTATGATATGGTATGGCGAAATAGAGTCCTCAAAATCATCCAAAAAAGTGGCATTAATGGCAAAATGTTTCTATTCTTACAAAATTTCCTAAATGATCGCAAAATTCAAGTCAGAGCTCACGCAGAACTATCAAAAATTCACCAAACTGAAAACGGACTCCCTCAAGGATCTGTTATCAGTGTTACTATGTTTTTATTGGCCATCAACGACATTTTTAAAAATATTCCAAAACCCACAAAACACTTATTATTCGCCGATGTCTGTCACATTTACTGCAGCGGACAAAACATCATAACAACAGTAGAAATACTACAAAACTCACTTAATCTTCTCCAAGACTGGTCTCATAAAACCGGATTCAAATTTTCTGCTAGCAAAAGTCAATGTATTAGCTTTCACATTAGTCCTAATGCAAACATACAATTATATCTTAAAAATTCGCCGATACCCGTTTGTAAAACACTCCGCATACTTGGAATGATATTCGACAACAAACTTAAATGGACCCCACACATAAAAAGACTCAAAAGTACCTGCAAAATCAGAATGAACATTATTAAGTCACTTTCCCACCATACATGGGGAGCCAGCATGAAATCACTCAATATAGTTTATAAATCTCTTATATTATCCCAAATACATTATGGCTCTCAAATCTACATTACAGCCAAAGAAAATCTCTTAAAAATGTTAGACCCAATCCATAACGAGGGAATTCGTTTATCAACTGGAGCCTTCAGAACCAGCCCCACAAACAGCATTTTATGCCATGCTGGAGAACTTCCCCTCGATTTACTTAGAGAAAAAGAACTCTTAAACTATGGAATCAAAAGAAAAAGCACTCCTAATCACATAGGATTCAATAACTTCTTCAATAACAAAAGCACAAATAGAACGATCTCAATTAAAAACCTCTTACCATCAATACATAACATCTTCTTCCAACTGATCAACAAACTCAATATACGTACAGCTGTTAAAAACAAAATCATATACCCAAACCATCCCCCTTGGCTTTGGCAAATCAATATCAATACTGAGCTTCTACAACAAAGCAAACTCCACATAAATCCTAATATTATCACCTCAAAATTTCATGAAATTATCCAAGACAAATACCCGCTATTCACTAAAATATATACGGACGCATCCAAATCCACTCAAGGCGTTGACTTTGCAATCTCCCATAATAATATCACACTACTTCACAAGCTTCCGCCAGAAACTTGTATATTCTCAGCAGAAACCCAAGCCATTTATGAAGCAATCATATTTGCAAAGACGATCACATCAAACCACATCCTAATTTTAAGTGATTCACTCAGTGCCCTACTTGCTCTTAAAAATCCCTTACCTTCCAACGAATATTCTCAAAACATACAAAAAATATTAACCCCGACTTCAAACATCGAATTTATGTGGGTACCGTCCCACGTAGGCATAACCGGTAACGAAATTGCTGACAAGGCAGCTAACCTTGCAATTAGAATCATCCCTCATCCAACATGCTCCGACTTATCGACAAATGACATCAAATCATCCATCAAGCATAAAACTTACTCTAGATGGCAAAAGTTTTGGGATACAATTCCTCTCTCAAATAAACTCAAAACAATTAAGAAAGATATTAAAAAATGGACCCCACCCTACCATTTCAACAGACGACAGGAAGTTGTCATCACAAGATGCAAAATCGGACACTCACTCCTAACCCACTCATTTCTCCTCAACAAAAATCCACCACCCACTTGTGATGAATGCCAAACTGACCTTTCAATCCATCACATAATCCAAGAATGCACGAAGTACCTGGATATAAGAAACCACCTTAAAATACCGCCGACTATGGAAGAAGCACTAAATGAAAATAACATCACCAAAATCATTACATTCTTAACTAAAATAAATCTTATAAATAAATTGTAATTATGTAAAAATTTCTGTAAATACTAAGTCATATCTTTTTTTTGTTATTTTTACATTTAATGTACGGTAGGCTAATAACCTGTGATGTTGAAGCCTTATTTTCTAATAAAAAAAAAAAAAAAAAAAAAGAAATCTCAATTATTACAATACAAAAACATGGAGAATAAAATATACGGGTAATGTCGGGTATTTAGATACACGGATAATGACGGGTATTTAGCTACACAGGTAATGCGGGTGAACGGGTATTTACAAATACACGTGTATTTTATTTACACGGACCTTAATCCCGTTTCAGATAAGAACACGTGTACCTGTGTAATTCATTACACGTGTAATGGCGAGCACTATAGTGTGATCCACGAAAAGTAGGCCGCGGTCGTCACACGCCTACCGGCCGTTTTTAGTGAGACCAGGGGTTCTCCGTGTGGGAGTATTATTATTATTATTATTTTATTATAGTACAGATGGTTTTCTGGCGGTATTTCATCGCATTTTATAGTGTGTTTCACAACAAATGTCCCTCGATACTAACGCGCCAGGTGGCGATTTTTACTTAGACCAGGGGTTCACAATTTGGGCTAGGAAATAAAGGATGTGTGTGTTTTAAAATATGATGAGCAGCAGTTCCTCATTTTTTGTATCATTGTATTGTCAGGAATTCAGGACACTATTCAGGACAAATGTTTTTATTGTATATTCGTCATCCCTGTTGTATTGTGTAGTGTGTACTGGAGAGAACCGGTCCTGGTTCTGTACGGTTTGTCATTGACTGTCGTTCCTACGCGTTACTTGTACTCAGTGTTGTTTCCACGTGCGTTTGCTTATCGTCGTGAAAACCGTACCATGGTTTGCGTTATATTTCTTGTGTTCAACTTTGGTTTTGTGATTAACGCGGGTTTTAAAGTTGAATTTTTTTTGCCTTATTATTAGTTATATTGTACAATAGAAGTTTACAATTTTTTTTACAGTCAAATATTTTTAACAATACATATTTTTAAAATGGCATTCAATCAAGATATCCATTATCAAACGAAAAAAGTGATTTTCCATGTATACAATTATTTCAAGACGATAGCTGCTGATAAAAGTAAGCCAGAACTTTCAAATTTTTTTCAACAAACCCGTGATGTGACTGCTAAAGCATGTGGCGTAAGTCTCGCTTGTGTAAAAAAAGTTTGTTCTGAAGCGAAAAAGGAACTTGAAGTCGGACCATCTAACAAAATTGCTTTCAAATCACCTAGGAAAAGTTATAAACGTGTAAAAGTAATGAGTTCTCTTGACGATTTTGACAACGAAGTTGTCAGAAGAAATATACATAGTTTTTTATGATAAAGGTGAATTTCCGACGACCGCAAAAATATAAGTGGCATTGAAAGAAAAAATTAATTACCCTGGCTCAAAAATGTTAGTTAAACGTATTTTACACAATTTGAACTTCAAGTACAAAAAGTTTAATGATGGGCGTAAATTTCTGATGGAGAGAAATGATATTGTTGCTTGCCGGGTAAAATTTTTAAGAAAAATGTACGAATTGAGACAGAATAATGACACAAGGCTGGTAGTTTACCTGGACGAAACATGGGTAAACCAAAACCATACGAAAGGTTACATATGGCAAAATCCAGAAAATACCGAAGAACTCAAAGTACCAATTGGAAAGGGTGCTCGACTCATTGTATGCCACATTGGTTCACCTTCATTTGGATTTGTGAACAATTCGAAATTGGTCTTTCGATGTAAATCGGGTAGTACGAAAGACTACCATTCGCAAATGAACGCAGACATTTTTGAAAAATGGTTTGTTGAAATGTTGGCCAATTTAGAACAACCGTCTGTTGTGGTAATGGACAATGCTTCCTGCCATTCTGTGCTAGCCGAAGAGTATCCTAGAGCAAACGCGCGAAAGGCAGATATTCAAAAATGGCTTGAAAAAAAATTAATTTCATATTCACCGGTAGAAACATTGTGTGAACTATGTGAAAAAGTTAAAATGGCCATACCTCGAAGTAGGATAAATATAGCGGTTCTAAAACCTACTCCCTACTCCCTACTCCCTACTCCCTACTCCATACTCCCTACTCACCACTGATCGACCACGTAACCTATGTATATTTCCCCCCTCCATGCATATCGTGTACGTGGATCCCCCCCACTTTCGCCACCACCCAGTCACGTACGTGCGAGAAATTCGCCCTCATCATTATCACACATTATTGTTATCATATGTTATCATATATTATCTCATGTTATTAATCATTTTTTTTTTTTTTTAAATCTATGGAGGTCTATCCCAAAGTATGTAAGGCCGAATCTCCAGACCTACTCCTTACTGATCGACCACGTAACCTATGTATATTTCATCCCTCCATGCATATCGTGTACGTGAATGATCCACCCTCACTCCCACCACTTTCGCTGTCACCCGGTCGCGTACCACTACTGCAGACGCCGCTACCTACTTCACCACCAGCGACGCAGCGATCCCAGGAATATTAGCCGACCAATACTTAAAAAAATATATTAAAATGTGATCTTATGCTTATACATTTATAATTCATTCCTATTTTAACGCTCTGCTTAATGTGCCCAACTGGTCTCCAGAGTGTCGCAGACATTTAGTTAAAGATATTAAAATGCCTATTAGTGAATAGCACATTATAATTGTTTTTAGCCGCCAGGATGTCGCATTTTAACGATTTTGTTCTGAAAAATCTTAAATGCCATTAACTTATGGCATATTGATTAGCGTGATCGTGTTTGATTCGTTAAAATATACATTAAGCATGTACTAATACAAATCGATAACAACCTATACCTACAAGTGTCACTAGCCAGTCAGTAGATCTCCAGTCTTATGCTCTAGTAAACGTACAAGTATCACACCGTCTTTAAATATTTCCAAGTGTTTATTTTATTAGAAAAATCTTAGTTTTTTTTTTTTCCAAGTGTTTATTATAATTTTTTTCCCCTGTATTTCATATATACTTTATACATTTAATAATGTTTAAATGCGATCAGTGCATGTCTACCTTTATACGTAAAGACAATTTGGTTGTCCACCAAAATAAGCATAAGGGTGTACGTTTATCATGTACTATATGTACCAAATCATTCGTGAAGAAATCAAATCTCAATAGACATATAAAAAATGTCCATGGTATGTATATTATATTTTTTTACTATAAATTAAAACAAATAATTATTTATTTTTATAAATATATCTACAATAATTTATTTTTATTAGGTATTACTCGATATCATCCACCTCACAATAGTATTATAAAGTCTTCTCCACAAACCATGGTATCAAACACGCAGGCAGGACCTTCAAACCAGTATCAAACTATTCAAAATGTATGCAATCTATGGGATAACGATAATGTGTGTAAGGAGATACATATGGAATTTGAAAAAGAGGGCTTGAACGAAAATATACAAGGTTAGTTTTATTTTTATTATCACAGAAATAATATTAACTTAAGGATATAGGTAGAATATAGGCTTTTTTTTTTCTATTGTTTTAATAACATGTAAATGTTAGTTTTTAAAATTTAAATATTTTTATACAGTCTAAGCTATATTTTAATAACATGAACAGAGTATAAGTTAATCAGTTTCCAAAATGTATAGATTGTTATATAGTGTTAGCTTGATTTTAATACCATAGGATTATAAATTAGTGTAATGTTAATATCATCGATAGAGTATGAGATAATATATATATATATTTTTTTTTTTTTAAAGATTCTTATACGACTATAGTAAATGGTAAACGCATTTCCAACGTTAATTCTATTTCAGCTATTAAGGTGAAAAAAGTGCGTATGGAACTGGTTAGATCCCCAGGTCTTGTAGAAATTTTAACATCAGCAAACCGTAAAATCGTATGGTATTACGCAAAAAATAATGATAATGTTCAAAATTATAACATATTTATACACTCATTGAAATCCAATTTAATACATATACTGGAAACACATCTTAAGAAAAACGCCATTAAATTTAATTTAAAACTAGAGGCCACTTATAATATCCCGTGTGTGGAAAATTCCACAGAAAATCGTACATTCAAAACATCTGCAGTCGAGTTGTTTAGAGAGTCGGATATATCAGCACTTGTTGAGGAATCTTTTATAAAATTATTAACGGAAGAAGAGTCTTATTCGGAGAGAGGAAGTGGATTCACGCTAGAAGCTGTAGATGGATTGTTATTAGGGGTGTATAAATATACACCAATGTCTGCTTCATCTTATATAGCCTTACCAGACAGTATCGATAGAAAAAAGGGTACAATCAATCCACAAAATACTGATAAATATTGCTTCAAGTGGGTTATATTAGCTAAGCATGTAACGGAGGAACCGAAATGTCGTATTGGTGAAAATCATCGCAGACACGAGGGGAAATATATTTTCGATGGTATCTCATTTCCAACTCCATTATCTGATATAAAAATATTTGAAAACAATATTCCACTCGTCTCCATAAATATTTATGGTATTAAAAAGCATTTCCAACCACCGAAAAAGTTCCCAACATACGAGGTTTTCCCACTCCGAGTTGTAGATGAAGAAAAACGAGATCACTTTGATCTATTATTAGTGACGGAAAATGATAATACGCATTACATATATATATATCTAATGTTTCGAGACTCGTTCGGCCACAAAAAACTAGATATGAAAGCAAATTATTATTTTGTAAGCGATGTTTTACAAGTTTTGACAATATACCTCGAAAATATCAATTGAGTGGACAAGCTGCGTCAGAGGAACATAAACTGATATATGGATTACATAAACCGATATTACCAGTTATGCCGACAGAAGGGGATTTTATAAAGTTTGATGCGTGGAGGAACACACAACGACATCCCATCGTTATATATGCTGACTTCGAAGCACTTCTGTTGAAGACCGATGGTGAGAAGAAGGGGAAAAACACACAAATTATTCACAAACGCGAGCCTATGAGTTTCGGGCTTTTCGTCAAGCCGTCCAATGACGTTCCATTAAGTCTGCTTAAGGAATATGATATACCGACTAAAATGATTATTTATCGTGGTAGTGAGGAACGTGGTGATGTAGCGAAACGTTTCGTGGAGATGGTGACTGAAATATCTTTAAAGATAGAGAAATTGTTAAAAACAAACGTAAAGATAAATATGAGCGCACGTGATAGAGTGGATCACGAGCTTGCAACTCACTGTAATCTGTGTTGTATAAAATTTACACCACCTCGTGACACACAACATCGAAAAACGGCCAACCACTGTCACCTTTCCGGAAAATATCGTCAAGCTCTATGCAATATGTGTAACCAAAAACTTCAAACACCTGTTTTTGTTCCGTGTTTTCTACATAATTTCTCGAATTATGATGCTCATTTTATAGTGACAGAATTAAGATATGATACGCATAGTATTACGGTTATACCAAACAGTGAGGAGAAGTTTATTTCCTTTTCCAAATACGTATCAAATACGTTCACAATCAGATTCATAGACACTTATAGATTCATGGCTTCGAAACTTTCAAAGCTCGCTAAAAATTTGCTAACTCCTGACTTTTCTAAATTTTGCGAGACCGGGAAACATTTTTCTGCTGATGATATGATCCTTGTAACCCGTAAGGGTGTCTACCCTTATGAATATACGGACGCGTGGAATAAGCTTGATGAAAATGCGTTATCGGATAAAGCCGAATTCTACAGTATCCTGACCGAGTCGAATCTAGATGATAAAGAGTACGAGCACGCGACGAAAGTGTGGAGACATTTTGGATGTAAAACGATTGGTGAATACTCGGATCTATATTTAAAAATTGATGTATTGCTGCTGACAGACATTTTCGAAAATTTCCGCGATGTACGTATGAAGGCTTACAACTTAGATCCTGCATACTATTACACCACTCCAGGGTTTTCATTTGACTGTATGCTTAAATACACCTCAATGAAGCTGGAACTGCTGTCAGATTATGATATGTTGTTGATGTTTGAAAATGGTTAGTATTAGAAATTATTTTATTATTATTAAATAAACAAATTATCGAATTAAATTTTTTTACAGGTATACGAGGTGGGCTGGTGCAGGTTAGCATTATGCGTTATGCTAAAGCTAACAATGAGAAGGTACCCGATTATGATGATATGCAGTCACATTCGTGGCTGGTTTATCAGGATTGTAAGTATACATATATTTATTTTTCTCAAAAATATTATAATATGCTCTGTAATTATTTTTAGGTAACAATCTGTACGGCTGGGCGATGTCACAGTGCATGCCCTATGGTAACTTTAAATGGGTCAAACCGACGTTGGATGGGATC